TTTTTTAAATTAAAAAACAAAATTTTTTTAATTTTTTAAAAAAAAAAAAAAAAAGTGTTTTTTTTTTTTTTTTTTTTGGTCCGGCAGTGTAAATTTCACTAACATTTGTTCTATGTTTCTGTCTGCATCGACCGTCTCAGCTTCAGGCTAAATCTGTGGTACTCCTGAATTCAAATCACTTCAATTAATTTAAGGAAGTCAGTTGAATTCAGTCAGGCAGATTCTTTGGCCATCCCCGGGTTAGAGGATGGAGGCTGGCTTTACCCAACCACAGAGGGGATTATTCACGTCTTGTGGCGTTTCCTGACCTAATGTGTGTGTTTTTCAACCTCCTAGCTCAAAGCTGTTCATGAGCAGCTGGCGGCGCTCTCCCAGCCACCGACCAGCAAGCCCAAGAAGAAAGAGAGAGACAAGAAGGAGAAGAAGAAGGAAAAGCATAAAAAGAAGCAGGAACCTGAGGAACCTGCAGAAACCTCTCCTCCCGCGATGCTTCAGACTTCTAAGAAAAGCAAGAGTAAAGATCCCGTCACGATAAAGGAGAAGAAGAAGAAGCCCAGGTATGTTTTCCTTTGCAGAATTCAGTCACGACGTCTCTGCTTGAAGTCAGACTAAATCCATCATTTGTCCATCGCAGTAAGAAAGAGGACCTCAAAAACAGCCGGCCAGCTCCGCCCCCTCCGTCAGGACCCATCGCTCTCCTGCCTTCAGCTTCTCTGGAAGCGGAGGACGACATCGGTGTGTTTCAGACAGAGCAGAGGCGAAGCATGACTGCTTCTGGAAACATCATACAAATATTTTCATTTCCAGACTCATTTCTATTCAGTTGTCCCATTTAGTTTCACATAATAAGCTTGTATAAATTTATATCTAAAGTATTTTTTAACATTTTAGAATGAACATCAAATATGTGAATTTTTATTTGTGGTTAATCAAAGACCCAGTGTAAACATCAGCAAAAAAACATCGTTCTGTTTTTTTCTTCTTCAGATTTTGGCTCTTGCAAGCCGATGTCGTACGAGGAGAAGCGCCAGCTGAGCCTGGACATCAACAAACTGCCCGGCGACAAGCTCGGCCGAGTCGTGCACATAATCCAGACGAGGGAGCCGTCGCTGAAAAACTCGAACCCCGATGAGATCGAGATCGACTTTGAGACCCTGAAGCCGTCTACGCTGAGGGAGCTGGAGAAATACGTGTCTAGCTGCCTCAAGAAGAAGAAAAAACCATCAGGTGGGTTTTTGAACCAAGTTCTGGTTGAAAAAGATGGATCTCAGAAACCCGTTCTGTGGGCACAATGAGCATTAACTCTGTTATCAAGAGTTTGTCTGGGCGATAGGTTTTAAAAATAAGTGTTTGATTTCCCTTTTTTTTAATCAGGGTTTTTTTCTCACTTTCTTAAAAAGAAATTACAAATGCCTGAAAATATTTTCAAAAAAGTGGCTTTCATTTCAGTCATCCCTTCTGTCTGTTCAAAGTCCAAATAATTAGAAATTGTAAAACAAGCTTGGCAAACAAGATGCCGACCCACGGTGTGCTGACATCACTCTGAATTATAGAAACTCAGTGGTGAAAAACATCCACAGTTTTCTAAAATTAATTCTTCAAAAACAAACAAAAAAAATTATGAATTCATAAAATTGATTAAGTGGCTCATGGTTTTTTACCAATGATAAAACCAAAATCCTGCAACCACTAAAATCTGACTCCTCGCCATGTTTGTTTACATTTCGTGAGGAAAGAAGTTGCGCTCAGTGTCGCTTCCCTCCGTGGTTCTCAGTGCAGCGCCTCCGCAGGCGAGGAGGGGAACAGGTTTTTCCAAACGTTTTGGTTCATTTGGCACATTACAGTGTTCACTTTGCATTTATTAATTAAAACTGGACTGTATTTGATTGGCTCTGATTCAAAATCTACAATACTTACGCCACTGAATTCTGAATTATTTTGTTCTGTACGGATTATTTAAACACAGTTCAATTTAGGATTTGTTGTCTTTGTGCCAATCTGATATGGACATTAAATACTTGTTTTGTTGAAGTTGTTAAAGTTTGATGGCTTTTGTTGCAGTAGAGAAGTCTCTGGAAATGACCAAGATAAAGACAGGATCTTCATCTTCAGGCAGCAGCGACTCCTCAGACAGTGAGGACTCTGAGAATGGTAACGTCTTTACTTCACTTATGTGTTTTTACTGATTGGCACCCTCAAGTATTCAGCCTGTAAATGTTGACTTTTGTCCTCTCTTGAATCTCATTTGTCTCGTGTCTGCAGGGCTGGTTCCCAAGCAACAGAAGAAGACGTTACCCAACAAGGACTCCAAGAGAGGGAACCACCAGCCGCCTCCTCCTCCTCCTCTTCCTCCCAGTGGGATGCTCCCAGTCGCCCCCGCGCCTCAAACACAACCCCAGCTGTTCCAGTCCAAGCCCCCGTTTGTATCCGCTCCCTCTGTCCCGCCGCTGGATTCCTCTCAGCTGCTGTCCTCGGGATTCGACCCTCTGGCACATTTCATGAATTCCCACCTGACCGAGTCAAACGCAGAGTCCAGCACCGCCGCCGGGGCAGCGTTACCCCCGGGCCTGCTGAACGCAAACGCACCCCTCAACCAGACACCGACCGACACGCATCCTTTCCTAAACCAGCATCCCATCGTTCCTTCCCCAGGTGAGTATTTCAGTGCTGCGGCTTCAGCATATCAACATAGCAGCCTAAATTATTCTTTAAAGGGGAAGTTTTATGTAAATTAAACTTTTTTGAGCTTTGCATCATGTTATAATGTTATTCAATCATCAAAAACATGCCTGGAGTGTTGCCTTGATTCTTTCATGCAAGGCAGTATGTTTCTCCGCCGTGTCGTCCAGCCCTAGTCGAAACCCTAATTTCTGCACATTGCTACGTTTTTAATAGAATATGTCGTGATAGATTGTTGGATTAGGCTTCAAAGGTTGTCCCCTCCTTCTTTTTCTTCCATGTTTGCAGCCATCCACAACGCCCTCCCCCAGCAACCATCCAGACCTAGCAACCGCGCTGCGCCTCTTCCGCCCAAACCGCCGCAGCCTCCTCCATCCTTGCTGCCTACCCTGCCTCCTGCGCCTCCCGCCGTCCCTGCCCAGCTTCAACCCACGCTTCCCATGAGCCTCCCGCAGCCCGTCCTCCGCCCACGCGTCCCGTCGCCGCCGTCGCACGGCATCCTGGGTACCCTCTCAGCTCAACCTCCTCAGGCGTTGCTGGAGGACGACGAAGAGCCTGTGCCGAACAGCTCCGAGACGCCGCCGCTCAGTCAGGTTCACAACCTGCTGCAGTCGCTGCAGCCCCGGGTTACCATGCCGCCGCAGCAGCAGCAGCCGCCGCAGCTGCAGCAGCCGCTGCAGCCGCTGCACACACACTCGCCTGGGCAGGCCGCTTCCCAGCTCCTGCAGTCGATACACACGCAGGTCTTGGCGGCGGCACCGCCCACCCAGACGCAGAGACACGTCCCAGCTCACGTTCCCCAGCTGTTCCCGAATTCCCAGCCGGCGGGGTCCCAGCAGCTGAAGGGTGCTGTCCTGCAGCAGAAGGTCCAGCAGCTCCAGCATCAGCAGCAGCCATCCCCACACAACACAGTAGAGGCCTTCTCAACTAAAGGTACCACATTAAACACAGTGGGGGTTTTTATTTTGTTAAACCTTTATTTAACCAGGTAAGTTGATTGAGAACAAATTCTCACTTTCAACAGCCTCCTGCTTAGAGAACATTAAAGGGGCAGTATTTTTGAGCTCATAGCATTACCTTTAATGTTGCTTTGATTCTTTCATGCAAATTTAGAGAAATCATTTAGTCTCCCATGGCAACCGTTCAACTGTTCAAAACACCTGGGTGGACGAAGCTCCGCCTTTGAGGACGAAGCTCCTCCTCAGAGTTGCAGTTTCCAGGCTTCCACATCACAGAGCAGAACAGAACAACTCCACCACTCGGCTCCTTCAGACTAGCCAGCAGCAATTAGCAAACATCTGGTGGAACTGTGGATCTACTGATCTACAAACTATTTCTCAGTGAAACGCTGATAAAAACCTTGTTAAAGGGTTAATAGAGGAGCCACGTTGTGATGACTTCCTGAAGGCAGAGTTTCAGAAAGAGCAGGAGCTTCTTAAAGAGACGGACACCCAATTTCAAGGCATGAAATTTCAAAGTAAAATTTCTTTTAATTCATATTTGATATATATATATATACCATTTTCATAACAACTGAAAGTAAAATAGTTACTTGAGGTTAGTTGATAAACGTCAATATTGAAGTTATCGTACTGAGCTTTAATGTTTTTTGCAAGTTGTTTGGTTTCCTTCTTAAATATTTTCTTTTTCTGTCATTTTACATGGTTGAAGTTTTATTTTATTTTAACTTGAAACGACTGAAAACTACCAGCGTAGTGACAGAGGACAGATTGGAGATGAGCTGGAAAGTTCCACAGCTCTTAATAACTAACATATGAACCTTGCATCTAAGATACGCATGTTTAGATTTTTACATTTACTAGTTATATATATATATATATTTTGTTTTGTTTTGTTTAGTGTTTTTTGTTTGTTTGTTTGTTGTCATTCTGGTATTCATCCATACGGTGGTGCTAGAGAGCTCAGCTGTAGATAAACTGAACTTCTTGTTCCCTGTGTTTAGGCTGCCTGCGTGAAAGCCCGTCTCCTCTAATGATGCATTCGCCTCAAATGCCTCAGTTTCATCCAATGGGACAGCAGTCACCTTTACAGACCAAGAAGCATGTAAGCCAATCGGGAACGTTGCATCACTGTGTCGATGTGTGGCGACTGCACTGAGTTCTGTGTGATTGGGCTTGGCGTAGGAGCAGAGGTCCAACCTGGTGGGAGTCAAAGAGGAGAAGCCTTCGCAGTCTCCAGGTCTACCTTCATCACCTTTCAGCCCTGCAGTCCGCCAAGACGCACACAAACATGACAACAAACACAGTGAGTGAAATGTTTATTCTCTGCTAAGGAAGGGTAAAACAGCGTTTCTGTAAGATTGGTCAAAGCCAGAGAAAATTTTAAATGTTTTACGTTTTATAGATTTCAAAATGAAGCAGATCTGAGTCCAAACACTTTTAAAAAAGTGCAATATCCCTTTAGTACTCAAATCTGGAGTAGGCCTGAAACGACTAAATGGATTAATCGACTAATTTAGTAAATTATTAATCGTTATTTGAATTATACCGACTAAAAAGAAGGTTGCTGTAAAAGCAGCATAGAGCAGTAATTGAGCCAAAATGGTACAAAACATAACATTTTGTACATTTTGCTTTTAAGATGTTAAAAATTCTTCATCTGTAAATATGTTTTTTATGTGATTAATTGATTAATCGTCAGATTATAGAATAATCGATTACGAAAATAATTAGTTAGTTGCAGTCCTAATCTGAAGACAACATAAACATTGTGTTGTCTTCAGATTAGGACTGCAACTAACTAATTATTTTCGTTAATAAATGTCTGGAAATATTTGGAGGGAAAACCAATAAAAATTTAGATTTGAGTTTGGAAGCGATGACGTTTCTCTGGTTCCTCATTTCTCCCTAAACGTGTGTTTAGGTTTGGAGATGAAGCCGCTGGATGGTTCTCGTCCCGTTTCCCGCCTCCCCAACTCCCCATCGCCGCCCGCCTCCCAACCGGAGAACAAAATCAAGCAAGAACCCAAGACCCCCATCGCACCCAAAAAGACACCGGTACACACAAAAATACAAAATAAATGCATAAAATAGTGCCGCACCCAATAAAAACCGTCTTTATTTCCCACTAATCCTGCTGTGTTTCCGTCCCAGGATGTGAAACTAAAGAACATGGGCTCCTGGGCCAGCCTGGCTCAACGCTCCCAGTCTGCGCCGACGTCATCGCTGCGCTCGTCCAGCGACAGCTTCGAGCGCTATAAGCGAGTCGCCATGGAGAAGGAGGAGCGGGAGAGACAGCTGAAAGCCCAGGCAGAGCAGGCCAAGAGAGTGCAGGAGATGCTACGGTAAGTAGGAGGGACAGAAAACAGCTCACTCCGAATGATGAAGAAACGACTCAGAATTAGCAAAGAAAAAAAAAAAAAAGTTAGGGGAGGTGAGGAAATTTCTTTTCTTTTGAATTCCCTCGCAGATTTTTTTGCATTCCCATGCAAAAAGTTTTTATTTCCTTCCAAAACTTTTTTTTGTGTTGCTTGGTTTAATTTTGCATCATTTTGAAAAGGCCTAAATCGGCATCAGTGGCACCAGGTAACTTGATCAAATAAAAACATACTGCTGCTTCCTGTTTCCATGTCACAGCCGCGATGATGACGACACAACGGAGCACGGTCGCCGAGGGCGACAGTCGCCCCTCGCTCCGACCCCTCCCCCCGTCTCCTCTCCGCCCACTCACTCCCCTCAGCCGCCGCCGGCTCCCGCCAAACAACAAGCTCCGCCCCCTCCGCCCGTGGCGGCAGCAGCAGCACACAGCGCTCTGGACCAGCAGAGGGACCGGGAGCGCCTCCGCGAACGGGACCGGCGCTTCAGAGAGGCTGTACGCACTTTTTTTTTTTTTTTTTTTTTTTTTTTTTTTTTTCTTTAAATCGCGTCTCATCGTCGTTTTACCTTTTCGTTTTCTCTGCAGATGGCGGACAACATCGACATCAATTTCCAGAGCGACCTTATGGCGATTTTCGAGGAGAGTCTTTTCTGAAAAGGAAAGAAAAAAAAAAAAGAGCAATAGACGAGGACTTGATAAGTTACAACGTTTCCAAATGTACAAGCGTCACGAGAAACAGCTCTGAGATACATGGTTGCTGCCGATGACACAAATCCACATCACCGCCCGGACCTAGCAGAAACCTCTCGGCCACGTTAGCTTGTTGTGATTGGGAACGTAGAGAAACGGCTTTCTCCCTCCCGGGTTTCCTGCTTGATGTTCATTGGTTACTTATTGATCTCCAAGGACGACGGGATGAGCAGTCTGAAAATTTTAGGAGAGAATCGAAATTGAATCTCCTTCATTATGTTAAATTATAAACTGGAGCAGTTTCTGTTTTTTTCTTTTTTTTATTTCTGGGGGACTTTAGCTAACAGGAGAACAAATAAAACAGCCTGCTTTGTTTTTACTTTTCTCCTCTCCCCTCAGATTTTCACTGGGGGAATCTGGACTCTTGTGGTTAAGTTTGTAAGGTTTTCGTCACCTATCATTTAGAAGCTTATTGTTTTCTCAGGATACAGTGTGTTTTGTTTTTGTTTTTGTTGTTTTGTTGTTTTTTTATAAGACCTCCTTTCACCTTCCACTTCCCCCTCTGCAACAATCAGGAGTGACCACGGAAGAAGCAACCATGTTTCATAAGTTTTCAAAGTGCGTCCCTTGCCTTAGCGCTCCGGCCTGTAAACTAATCACGCCCTACAAATTATACATATTATATATATATATAAAAATAGATACACAAATATATATATTATATATGACAAAAAAAAGTAAGTCATTGAAGAATATGAGAGGGATATCTTTGTGGAGAGCAAAGCTCGTGTCTGTGTTCATCTCTGAGCTATGGTTTTGATTTTGTAGACTTTACTGTAAAGAAGAAAAACCAACAAAAAAAAAACAAAACTTTTTTTATGATTCTATTGAGAGGATTGTTTCGTCTGTCTTATTCTCACATTTTCAGTTTTTGTTTTGTTTTATTTTTTTCTTAACTCTATGCCAAAACAAATCCATTGAGTGCTGAAAGTTGTTTCACGTTTTTTACATGTAAATTGCATTGTCTCTTCACTTTATATTAAAGACTGTCATCATTGCTATTTAAAATTTTGCTTCCCCTCCCTCCCCCTCTTCCCGGCCTTTTAAATCGAAAGTTATGCAACTGGTTTTCTCTTTCTTCAAAGGAGTTTTACGCGCCTAGGTCCCATCATTTTGTACTTACTGGATAAATCTGCACTTAAGTGTTTTAGTCTGGTTTTTTTATTTTTTTTATATTTCTTTTATTTTTGTTTTCTTCCCTTCATGTGGATATTTTTAGTCTTTCCTTCCCATCTCGCCTGCCACCATCATCACAGTTTCAGTCGTCTAATGGACTTCTCTTCGTTCTGTCCTTCGTCACTCTGACCTCGCGCTCGTCGTCGTCCGCACTGAGAGCGTTTTGGACTTTGTGTGCCATTGTGTTGATCTGGAAGTGGGAGCTTTTCCCGCTTCCTTGAGGTTTGGCTCGGAGATCTGGAGTGTTTTCTGCTCTGTCATTTTCTGTATTTTTTTTTCTCCTTTTTCTTTTCTTCCNCCATGTTTGTTTACATTTCGTGAGGAAAGAAGTTGCGCTCAGTGTCGCTTCCCTCCGTGGTTCTCAGTGCAGCGCCTCCGCAGGCGAGGAGGGGAACAGGTTTTTCCAAACGTTTTGGTTCATTTGGCACATTACAGTGTTCACTTTGCATTTATTAATTAAAACTGGACTGTATTTGATTGGCTCTGATTCAAAATCTACAATACTTACGCCACTGAATTCTGAATTATTTTGTTCTGTACGGATTATTTAAACACAGTTCAATTTAGGATTTGTTGTCTTTGTGCCAATCTGATATGGACATTAAATACTTGTTTTGTTGAAGTTGTTAAAGTTTGATGGCTTTTGTTGCAGTAGAGAAGTCTCTGGAAATGACCAAGATAAAGACAGGATCTTCATCTTCAGGCAGCAGCGACTCCTCAGACAGTGAGGACTCTGAGAATGGTAACGTCTTTACTTCACTTATGTGTTTTTACTGATTGGCACCCTCAAGTATTCAGCCTGTAAATGTTGACTTTTGTCCTCTCTTGAATCTCATTTGTCTCGTGTCTGCAGGGCTGGTTCCCAAGCAACAGAAGAAGACGTTACCCAACAAGGACTCCAAGAGAGGGAACCACCAGCCGCCTCCTCCTCCTCCTCTTCCTCCCAGTGGGATGCTCCCAGTCGCCCCCGCGCCTCAAACACAACCCCAGCTGTTCCAGTCCAAGCCCCCGTTTGTATCCGCTCCCTCTGTCCCGCCGCTGGATTCCTCTCAGCTGCTGTCCTCGGGATTCGACCCTCTGGCACATTTCATGAATTCCCACCTGACCGAGTCAAACGCAGAGTCCAGCACCGCCGCCGGGGCAGCGTTACCCCCGGGCCTGCTGAACGCAAACGCACCCCTCAACCAGACACCGACCGACACGCATCCTTTCCTAAACCAGCATCCCATCGTTCCTTCCCCAGGTGAGTATTTCAGTGCTGCGGCTTCAGCATATCAACATAGCAGCCTAAATTATTCTTTAAAGGGGAAGTTTTATGTAAATTAAACTTTTTTGAGCTTTGCATCATGTTATAATGTTATTCAATCATCAAAAACATGCCTGGAGTGTTGCCTTGATTCTTTCATGCAAGGCAGTATGTTTCTCCGCCGTGTCGTCCAGCCCTAGTCGAAACCCTAATTTCTGCACATTGCTACGTTTTTAATAGAATATGTCGTGATAGATTGTTGGATTAGGCTTCAAAGGTTGTCCCCTCCTTCTTTTTCTTCCATGTTTGCAGCCATCCACAACGCCCTCCCCCAGCAACCATCCAGACCTAGCAACCGCGCTGCGCCTCTTCCGCCCAAACCGCCGCAGCCTCCTCCATCCTTGCTGCCTACCCTGCCTCCTGCGCCTCCCGCCGTCCCTGCCCAGCTTCAACCCACGCTTCCCATGAGCCTCCCGCAGCCCGTCCTCCGCCCACGCGTCCCGTCGCCGCCGTCGCACGGCATCCTGGGTACCCTCTCAGCTCAACCTCCTCAGGCGTTGCTGGAGGACGACGAAGAGCCTGTGCCGAACAGCTCCGAGACGCCGCCGCTCAGTCAGGTTCACAACCTGCTGCAGTCGCTGCAGCCCCGGGTTACCATGCCGCCGCAGCAGCAGCAGCCGCCGCAGCTGCAGCAGCCGCTGCAGCCGCTGCACACACACTCGCCTGGGCAGGCCGCTTCCCAGCTCCTGCAGTCGATACACACGCAGGTCTTGGCGGCGGCACCGCCCACCCAGACGCAGAGACACGTCCCAGCTCACGTTCCCCAGCTGTTCCCGAATTCCCAGCCGGCGGGGTCCCAGCAGCTGAAGGGTGCTGTCCTGCAGCAGAAGGTCCAGCAGCTCCAGCATCAGCAGCAGCCATCCCCACACAACACAGTAGAGGCCTTCTCAACTAAAGGTACCACATTAAACACAGTGGGGGTTTTTATTTTGTTAAACCTTTATTTAACCAGGTAAGTTGATTGAGAACAAATTCTCACTTTCAACAGCCTCCTGCTTAGAGAACATTAAAGGGGCAGTATTTTTGAGCTCATAGCATTACCTTTAATGTTGCTTTGATTCTTTCATGCAAATTTAGAGAAATCATTTAGTCTCCCATGGCAACCGTTCAACTGTTCAAAACACCTGGGTGGACGAAGCTCCGCCTTTGAGGACGAAGCTCCTCCTCAGAGTTGCAGTTTCCAGGCTTCCACATCACAGAGCAGAACAGAACAACTCCACCACTCGGCTCCTTCAGACTAGCCAGCAGCAATTAGCAAACATCTGGTGGAACTGTGGATCTACTGATCTACAAACTATTTCTCAGTGAAACGCTGATAAAAACCTTGTTAAAGGGTTAATAGAGGAGCCACGTTGTGATGACTTCCTGAAGGCAGAGTTTCAGAAAGAGCAGGAGCTTCTTAAAGAGACGGACACCCAATTTCAAGGCATGAAATTTCAAAGTAAAATTTCTTTTAATTCATATTTGATATATATATATATACCATTTTCATAACAACTGAAAGTAAAATAGTTACTTGAGGTTAGTTGATAAACGTCAATATTGAAGTTATCGTACTGAGCTTTAATGTTTTTTGCAAGTTGTTTGGTTTCCTTCTTAAATATTTTCTTTTTCTGTCATTTTACATGGTTGAAGTTTTATTTTATTTTAACTTGAAACGACTGAAAACTACCAGCGTAGTGACAGAGGACAGATTGGAGATGAGCTGGAAAGTTCCACAGCTCTTAATAACTAACATATGAACCTTGCATCTAAGATACGCATGTTTAGATTTTTACATTTACTAGTTATATATATATATATATTTTGTTTTGTTTTGTTTAGTGTTTTTTGTTTGTTTGTTTGTTGTCATTCTGGTATTCATCCATACGGTGGTGCTAGAGAGCTCAGCTGTAGATAAACTGAACTTCTTGTTCCCTGTGTTTAGGCTGCCTGCGTGAAAGCCCGTCTCCTCTAATGATGCATTCGCCTCAAATGCCTCAGTTTCATCCAATGGGACAGCAGTCACCTTTACAGACCAAGAAGCATGTAAGCCAATCGGGAACGTTGCATCACTGTGTCGATGTGTGGCGACTGCACTGAGTTCTGTGTGATTGGGCTTGGCGTAGGAGCAGAGGTCCAACCTGGTGGGAGTCAAAGAGGAGAAGCCTTCGCAGTCTCCAGGTCTACCTTCATCACCTTTCAGCCCTGCAGTCCGCCAAGACGCACACAAACATGACAACAAACACAGTGAGTGAAATGTTTATTCTCTGCTAAGGAAGGGTAAAACAGCGTTTCTGTAAGATTGGTCAAAGCCAGAGAAAATTTTAAATGTTTTACGTTTTATAGATTTCAAAATGAAGCAGATCTGAGTCCAAACACTTTTAAAAAAGTGCAATATCCCTTTAGTACTCAAATCTGGAGTAGGCCTGAAACGACTAAATGGATTAATCGACTAATTTAGTAAATTATTAATCGTTATTTGAATTATACCGACTAAAAAGAAGGTTGCTGTAAAAGCAGCATAGAGCAGTAATTGAGCCAAAATGGTACAAAACATAACATTTTGTACATTTTGCTTTTAAGATGTTAAAAATTCTTCATCTGTAAATATGTTTTTTATGTGATTAATTGATTAATCGTCAGATTATAGAATAATCGATTACGAAAATAATTAGTTAGTTGCAGTCCTAATCTGAAGACAACATAAACATTGTGTTGTCTTCAGATTAGGACTGCAACTAACTAATTATTTTCGTTAATAAATGTCTGGAAATATTTGGAGGGAAAACCAATAAAAATTTAGATTTGAGTTTGGAAGCGATGACGTTTCTCTGGTTCCTCATTTCTCCCTAAACGTGTGTTTAGGTTTGGAGATGAAGCCGCTGGATGGTTCTCGTCCCGTTTCCCGCCTCCCCAACTCCCCATCGCCGCCCGCCTCCCAACCGGAGAACAAAATCAAGCAAGAACCCAAGACCCCCATCGCACCCAAAAAGACACCGGTACACACAAAAATACAAAATAAATGCATAAAATAGTGCCGCACCCAATAAAAACCGTCTTTATTTCCCACTAATCCTGCTGTGTTTCCGTCCCAGGATGTGAAACTAAAGAACATGGGCTCCTGGGCCAGCCTGGCTCAACGCTCCCAGTCTGCGCCGACGTCATCGCTGCGCTCGTCCAGCGACAGCTTCGAGCGCTATAAGCGAGTCGCCATGGAGAAGGAGGAGCGGGAGAGACAGCTGAAAGCCCAGGCAGAGCAGGCCAAGAGAGTGCAGGAGATGCTACGGTAAGTAGGAGGGACAGAAAACAGCTCACTCCGAATGATGAAGAAACGACTCAGAATTAGCAAAGAAAAAAAAAAAAAGTTAGGGGAGGTGAGGAAATTTCTTTTCTTTTGAATTCCCTCGCAGATTTTTTTGCATTCCCATGCAAAAAGTTTTTATTTCCTTCCAAAACTTTTTTTTGTGTTGCTTGGTTTAATTTTGCATCATTTTGAAAAGGCCTAAATCGGCATCAGTGGCACCAGGTAACTTGATCAAATAAAAACATACTGCTGCTTCCTGTTTCCATGTCACAGCCGCGATGATGACGACACAACGGAGCACGGTCGCCGAGGGCGACAGTCGCCCCTCGCTCCGACCCCTCCCCCCGTCTCCTCTCCGCCCACTCACTCCCCTCAGCCGCCGCCGGCTCCCGCCAAACAACAAGCTCCGCCCCCTCCGCCCGTGGCGGCAGCAGCAGCACACAGCGCTCTGGACCAGCAGAGGGACCGGGAGCGCCTCCGCGAACGGGACCGGCGCTTCAGAGAGGCTGTACGCACTTTTTTTTTTTTTTTTTTTTTTTTTTTTTTTTTTCTTTAAATCGCGTCTCATCGTCGTTTTACCTTTTCGTTTTCTCTGCAGATGGCGGACAACATCGACATCAATTTCCAGAGCGACCTTATGGCGATTTTCGAGGAGAGTCTTTTCTGAAAAGGAAAGAAAAAAAAAAAAGAGCAATAGACGAGGACTTGATAAGTTACAACGTTTCCAAATGTACAAGCGTCACGAGAAACAGCTCTGAGATACATGGTTGCTGCCGATGACACAAATCCACATCACCGCCCGGACCTAGCAGAAACCTCTCGGCCACGTTAGCTTGTTGTGATTGGGAACGTAGAGAAACGGCTTTCTCCCTCCCGGGTTTCCTGCTTGATGTTCATTGGTTACTTATTGATCTCCAAGGACGACGGGATGAGCAGTCTGAAAATTTTAGGAGAGAATCGAAATTGAATCTCCTTCATTATGTTAAATTATAAACTGGAGCAGTTTCTGTTTTTTTCTTTTTTTTATTTCTGGGGGACTTTAGCTAACAGGAGAACAAATAAAACAGCCTGCTTTGTTTTTACTTTTCTCCTCTCCCCTCAGATTTTCACTGGGGGAATCTGGACTCTTGTGGTTAAGTTTGTAAGGTTTTCGTCACCTATCATTTAGAAGCTTATTGTTTTCTCAGGATACAGTGTGTTTTGTTTTTGTTTTTGTTGTTTTGTTGTTTTTTTATAAGACCTCCTTTCACCTTCCACTTCCCCCTCTGCAACAATCAGGAGTGACCACGGAAGAAGCAACCATGTTTCATAAGTTTTCAAAGTGCGTCCCTTGCCTTAGCGCTCCGGCCTGTAAACTAATCACGCCCTACAAATTATACATATTATATATATATATAAAAATAGATACACAAATATATATATTATATATGACAAAAAAAAGTAAGTCATTGAAGAATATGAGAGGGATATCTTTGTGGAGAGCAAAGCTCGTGTCTGTGTTCATCTCTGAGCTATGGTTTTGATTTTGTAGACTTTACTGTAAAGAAGAAAAACCAACAAAAAAAAAACAAAACTTTTTTTATGATTCTATTGAGAGGATTGTTTCGTCTGTCTTATTCTCACATTTTCAGTTTTTGTTTTGTTTTATTTTTTTCTTAACTCTATGCCAAAACAAATCCATTGAGTGCTGAAAGTTGTTTCACGTTTTTTACATGTAAATTGCATTGTCTCTTCACTTTATATTAAAGACTGTCATCATTGCTATTTAAAATTTTGCTTCCCCTCCCTCCCCCTCTTCCCGGCCTTTTAAATCGAAAGTTATGCAACTGGTTTTCTCTTTCTTCAAAGGAGTTTTACGCGCCTAGGTCCCATCATTTTGTACTTACTGGATAAATCTGCACTTAAGTGTTTTAGTCTGGTTTTTTTATTTTTTTTATATTTCTTTTATTTTTGTTTTCTTCCCTTCATGTGGATATTTTTAGTCTTTCCTTCCCATCTCGCCTGCCACCATCATCACAGTTTCAGTCGTCTAATGGACTTCTCTTCGTTCTGTCCTTCGTCACTCTGACCTCGCGCTCGTCGTCGTCCGCACTGAGAGCGTTTTGGACTTTGTGTGCCATTGTGTTGATCTGGAAGTGGGAGCTTTTCCCGCTTCCTTGAGGTTTGGCTCGGAGATCTGGAGTGTTTTCTGCTCTGTCATTTTCTGTATTTTTTTTTCTCCTTTTTCTTTTCTTCACATCTTCAAGGTGTCCTATTTCTCCTTCGCTGTTTTATTTTCTTCTATGATTTATTTTACCCAGAACAATGTGTTGGTATGTTGGTGACTGAGGCATTGAGGTCAATAGATTCATCTTCATATAATGGAGTACAGCATCTATGTTTTTTTTTTTGTTTTGTTTTGTTTTTTAAGAAAAGTATTAAAATATTTAAAAACCTTACCCTGGTCCTCACCATTTCTTCTTTGGAATCAGCCTTTATTGTCACCGAACAGAAGCACAACAAAATTCATTTCAGTACAGAAAAAGATAAACGGCATAAAACACAGGTGACTCGCAAAATGTGGGAGAGAAAGTCGGTAATTAAATACATTTTTTTTTAAATGCTATTTTTAGCTGAGTATTTATTACTCGATAAATGTATAATCACAATACATTTACCTTTTTGAGTTCTGACCCTAAATATTAAAGTATATAAAAAAACTAAAACTACAATTAATGAAACCTAAACTGCAACTAAGCAATACTTTACTAATAAAACCTAGCAAACCCACTCTAAAAACTAAAACTGAATTAGACAAAAGTCACAACAAAATAAACTACAATGAAAAACCCAAAACTATTATAACCTTATTGTGATAACGGTAAAGATACAAACAATTCAATACTTTTTTAGGCTGTGACTGCGTGACCCGGCAATCCTGGACCCACAAACACAAATACTGCTCCTGAGAAACATCCATTTGTATTACACTTCATTAATAAGTGTGATTTTATATCAATAAACTGCAGACAGGAACTGTTTTTCATCATATTTTCAAATTCATTGGTACTTATTGATGGACCTTTCTGGTACAAGCAGTGGAGAAAATAGCAATACTGACAATACGGACAAAGTTTGGATTGTTTTGAAAACGTGATTCACTGGAGATCAAAACTCTTAGCCATTAAAATAAATGTTGATATTGAATATAATGTTGCTGTTTGCACATAACTGTATGCCTGGTACTCTGTACATCCTACCAAGATTCAAATCCAGACACTTTGGAGTCCCACAATGAGGAACTGTGTTGTACAGTGGTATTAAAATCAAGCTGAGGTAGCATCAGCTGGGGCAAAAAGAGGAAATATAGAAAGAAAAATGGGCAACATAAAAAATATATATATACATATAAACAGACAACCAGCTTGAATTAAACAATAAGAGTGGAGTAAGTTGGAATGATTCAAAAAGCAGATTAATATATTTTCTAACAGCTTACAGTCGTGCATAAATGTACACTGATTACAATTAAATTGATTTGTGTAAAATCCTAATTTTATTCAACAGCCTCTTTGTCAGTAGTTTTCAGTAAACTGAAACTACTGGCATAGTTGCTAAATAAGCACACATTTTCACTTCGTCCTGCAGCAGCCAAAATTAGAGCCTAGCAAATGTGAAAGCGTGAGAAACTGTTTAGTGGCTTTGATCGGGTTTTGCCAGATAGACAGAAGAACACCGGGGAGGAAGTGGAGGTTCAGACCAATTACAGGTTAGTAAGAGGCAGCAAAGACACCCACGTTACAGAAGTTGCTGCTGTGCCTCCTTTGCTAAAGAGAAGCCCCTAATCATGTGTTATCACAAATTTGCTCGGCACTCAGAAAGATTAAGGAACAAAAAGAAAGTTCCCGGTCAGATAACAACCGCCGAACGAGTCATGAAATATTTTTATTCAAAGTTAGTTCCTCTGTCTCCTACAGTGAAGACGAATGTTTTTATTTATGCATTTATTTATTTTTTTTCAGGTTTTTGACTTTCAAATGAGGGGCTCTCGTGGTTTGACTCAGCTTTTTAAACGGTTTATTAAAGTTCAAGACAGACCGCAAACTGCCAAGATGACCTCGAGATTTATCAGGTGAGAGGACGAGGAGAGTTCAGCTTTAAGATAAGGGATACCGCTGACCTCTGCACCACTGCACATGAAAAAAAAACCTAACAGGGGCATATTTATGTGTTTTCCAGCCACATAGTGCCACTTTATAGCACAAGCAAGTAACTATGTCACCTTGAGTTGTTAAAAATTCCTTACATATCACGTATGACTTAAAGAAATTTCTTTCTGACACTTCGCCTTCAGGAAGTCATCACAATATGGCTCCTCTATTAACCCTTTAACATTGTTTTTACCAGCGTTTCTCTGAGAAGAAGCTTCTATTATGAGCTCAGCAGACGCTCCACCAGGTGTTTGCTAATTGCTGGAGGCTAGTCTGGAGGAGCTGAGCTGGGGGGGTCACTAGGAAGCTGTGATTTGTAATGCAGAATCTCAGAAACTGCAGCTCGGAGGAGCTTTGTCCTCGAAGGCGGGGCTACGTCCACCCAGGCATTTTTCACAGCTGAATGGTTACCATGGAGATTAAAGGATTTCTCAAGCATGCATGAAAGAACCAAGGCGACAATCCAGGTATGTATTTGATGAGGGAGCGACATTATAATGTGATGCAAAGCTGAAAAGAATCACTTTTACATAATGCTGCCTCTTTAGAATACAGTCATGAGAGAAACATCTAGATTTTGTTGTCATCTGTAAAACACCGAGGGTTTGTGGGATTATATTTGTCAGAATGAGAACTGCCGGTGGAAGCAAGAGTTTTCAGAGACAATTTAGTAAAAGAAAAACATTAGGAGGCACCAGTTTGTACTGTCTGTGGTAGCAGGCTGTTGAAATCTGGCTCTAGGAAATCTGTGGTCACGGCAGTCACATGACTCTGGTGAGCAGCAGCTTTTCTCAGCCTTGACTTTTGGTGTCAAATTTGTTTGTCTTCTGTCTAAACAGGAAACTCTATTTTGCACTGCTGCTGCGTCTCTCTTCTTCCCTTTTATCTACATTTCTTTATCTCACTGACATGGATTTTTTTTTTCTTTATGTTTTTCTCTCCCGAAATGAAAGTCAGTACTTTTCAATCTCAATTCACAGTGTTCTGTGCGTGTAAACCCTTTTTGGGAGATCAGGAGATTATTTGCAACAAGAAGCAGAAAGAAAAGCTGCCACACTTGTCAAGAATTTGAACTGTACATATTCAAATTATAAAAAGAAAAAATCAAAAAAGTGATTTCCACAAAGTTTTACCAAAAAGAAACACAGTCAGCGATTAGAGGATGTGCTTAGCTCAGGCAAAAACAAATCATGATTTTTTCTTTTTTAGGAAACTAGACAGTAGAAGAATCAAAATGTGGCTGCCTTGCTTTACCATGGACTGAGCTTTGTCCCATTTCAGTCACTTGCATTTATGCATTTTTGTTGTTGTTGATTTTAGGTAACGAATCAACACAACAATTTGCATAATTGTAAAGTGAACAAAAAAAAAATCGTACGTGGTTATTAATTTATTTCACAAATTACAAATGAACAGCACGGCCTCCATTTTTATTCTGCCTCTCTGC